AGACAGTCCTACTCTATATCTAATGAGACCCCATTCGAGAAACTGGTACAGATATAAGTGATACAGATGCGCCATCTTGCGCCTTTCAGGGATCGCCGCCTGCTCCACCGGTCCTTTGTTCGGCGGCAGTTGCGGCGGTGGCAGTTCACAGGCCAATTTAGAGAGCAAGGACCTCCTTGACGCGGCCGTCGCGGGGAGTCATCTTGATGCGGAAAGGAACGGGCGAGCGGCCCGACAGACCGTCGTACTCGGTCAGGTCGATGGGCTCGTTGGGGAGCTGCTCCATGTTGAAGGCCCAGAGCAGACCGGCGATGGCAAGGAAGATCTCCTGCTCGGCGAGCGGGATGCCGGGGCAGATACGGCGACTGCGAAGCAGGTTGTCAGTGAACAGTGTCGTGCGGAGCAGAGCAGTGGGAGCGGGAGCGGGAGTGGGAGCGGGAGGAAGAGGAAGAGGAGGAGCGGAAGGAAGAGGAAGAGGAGGAGACATACCCGGCACCGAACATCCAGTGGTCGCGCTGGTACGGGTCCGCGAGGTTGGCAGACTCGGTGTTGGTGTAGTGATCGTTGATGTAGCGGTCGGGCTAAAGGAGTGCAGAGACGTGCTCAGTGTCTGCGCGTATGTGCGGTGCGCCGTCACAGGAGAGCAGGACTCACGTTGAACTTCTCGGGCTCGGGGTAGCGCTTCGGGTCCATGTGCATCGTGTACTAGAAGAGCGCGGATGTGTCAGTATGTGCACTCTGCGGAGACACCAGGCCAAGCTGGATAGCCGGACAGCCAGATAGCTACTCACAGCGTTGATGATGACGACAGTGCCCTTGGGGATGAACTGGCCCTGGTAGGTAAAGTCCTCGGTGCTCTTGTGCGGCGTGCCAAGCCAGAACGGGTTGTGCACACGCTCGATCTCCTTGATGATCGCACGGGTGAACGGCAGGCTCTTCTCGTCCGCAGCGACCGGGACGCGGTCGCGGCCGACGACCTGGTCGATCTCAGCCTGGGCGCGCCTCTGCATCTCAGGGAAGGCAGGGATGTGGGCAAGGAACCACTGCTTGATGGCGGCCGTGGTCTCGACACCACCGATCATGAAGGCGCAGCAGATGAAGATGATGTCGAGGTCGTCGAGCTGCTCCTGCTCCTTGACGCTGAGCAGGAACTTGGCCATGCACTCGGGGACCTCCTCGCCGGCCTTCATCCGGCGGTCGATGTCGCTGATCAGGCCGCCGCAGGTGTCGACGAGACCCTGGTGGAGACGCTTGCCACGGTTGACCATGGTCCAGTTGGGGAAGTTGCGGAGGAACGGCACGAAGTCGACAACGTTCGAGACCGGGCCCGTGCAGTTCCTGTGCGCACATCCACATCGTTAGCCTCGTCGCAAAGGAGCAAAGAACAAACGGAAAGAAAAGAGAGAAAGACTCACATGAACTCGCGAGAGTGCTTGAGCCAGTGGCCGACCAGCGGGTGGTCGATGCTGTCCGTGCGCGTGCCAAAGGCGATCGTCAGGATGTTGTTGAGCGACGTGCGGCCAGCGTGGGGCTGCGGGTTGACGGGAACCTCGCCGGCCTTGCCGCCCGAGTACAGCGCCTTGAGCATGTCCGTGACTTCCAGCATCAGACCGGGCATGTAGTTCGAGATCTGCTTGTTGCCCAGGAACTGCGCGGCCAGACGGCGGTGCTTGCGCCACGTCTCGTCGTACGGCGTCGCGGTGATGCCGCGGCGGACGAAGATGATCTTCGACTTCATGTACATCTCCTTCCGCGACGAGAAGATCGACCCGTTCGTGATCACCAGGTCCTTGACGACCTGCGGGTCGGAGACGACGACGAAGAGCTGGTTGCCGAGCCACATCGAGTACAGCGGCCCGAACTTCTTCGCCCACTTGTCGAGCGCCATCTCGGGGTAGTGCGTCAGGAACGGCAGCGAGCCTGTGCAGCAGCAGCAGCAGTAGCACCGCCAGTCAGCATCGAGAGAATCCCAAGTCTACGTCCAACAGAGGAAACGACGCGCACCGAGGAAAGGCACGCCGGCCGGGCCAGGCGGCAGCTTCTGGCCCTTGACACTTTGGCGAACATAGCTGAAGGCCTTGAGGAGTGCGAAGACGGTGGCCACGAGTGTGGACAGCGCCGTGAAGGTGCCAATGTCGTGGACAGTCGAGACCATGTTTGCGATGTTCTAGGCGTGGTCTCCACTACCTTTTGGGGAGTTGTGTGTTGGTGTGGAAGATGGAGGAACGGGGCGATAACCTTCTCGACCATTCTACCCTCCCTTTTAAACGGCAACTGTCGCGCGTACCACACAGTGGCGGCGAGACCGGAGAGCGCGCGTTGAGCGAAGCGATGCGCCCCGCTCCTTGGCCAGGGCTCTCTCGTCACGCAGCGCGAGGTAAACGGCCTGGACGAAAAAAGCCGTCTTGTCATTGGACTCGCGTGCTTGCCGGAGGG